TTTGTATGAAGCGCTTCCTTTTCACTTTTCATAATGCCTTTGAATATGATATCTATCAACAGAGCTCTCAAATTTGCGATAGTTTTGCCTATTCAGCGAGGTTTTCATTTTGCTATTCGCTTATATGAAAGGGAATGGTGGCGTATGTTTTCGATGACGCATTGCCATCTCATGACCCACTGATATGGGAAGACCGCACACTTTGGGATTTTGCTCGTTTGATAGGAAAACATTTTCAGTGAATTCATCATAAAAACTCCGTTTTAATGATAGTCGATGAAGGTTATTATGTTCTAGCTCTCGTTCCGATCCAATTATCGTTTAGAACTATTTTATTTGTTTACTTTGAATAACTGTTTCATTAGGTTTTTCGAATCGTTCAATTTGTTGACCATGTGCTTGGTTTACACAGCCTTTTGGAAACATGTGGTTTTAAATTGGATGCGAAATTTGCCTGATGTTGGCCTTTTTTGTGCTTGATTACCAGGTGATTCATCCTTTGTCGAACCCATTTAGCTTGTTTACATTACTTATATTCACCCACAGTGGTGGGCGTGTACCAAAATCACTACTAGAAAAGTCAGTGAAAACGTAATTCTTCATGAACGATTTCGCACGTCCTAAATTGTCCTTTAGCATAACCGGAATGAAATGACGTAATTTTCTGTAGTCTTGGCTTGGATAGACTCAGACAAGGAAGAAAGAGAGAAGAGGAAGCTCCCTGTGCTGCCAAAAAATCGCTTCAAAAGTTTCAGAATCTCTAGATAGGCTTTATGCGGGTAATTCGCGCCCGGCCGATATTTGGCTTCTTCACTTCTGGGGCTTTGTACTGGCTCTACTTATGGCTATGGAATACATTGAGTTCAATTACTTTTCATCCACCCATTTCATCCAGTTCCTCCGAATGAGATGATTCATAATTTTATTGTGTTGTAATATCTAATGACGGTCTGCTGGGCAGCTTTACTGCCTGTTGTACAAGTCATAAATGCAAATCCAAGTAGTCGACCTATGGAGGGAGCTAATAATCAGAGTGAGCTTGGTGCTGAAGCGTATGTTTCTTCATGTCCAACAGTATAGCGACTTGGTAATAGTCGTCGGATTTGGAACATCTTCAGTACTGGCGTCATACTGTGGACTTTATTTCTAGACCATGTGGTCCCTTGACATCAGTTAGCAGAAGTGGAAGACTTTTACCTCTCAATAGGTCACGTGGTTCTACTTTTTGAGTATTTAATGTGACAGCGTCTTCGAGTAGGGATAAACTTCCACTCGACCATACTACTAGTATCTCCCTGAGTGTTCCCGAGCTTTCGATGTACGGCCACAGGGTTTCGCGGCTGTCGATGGGGTAATAGCTTTCCCGAGATGACGGAACAATATAAACGGTGCAGAAGAAAGGGCACATATGCTTGGAGGAAAGCCAGTGTACGTTCCCATGGTAGTTCTTAATTAATGTCGACTATATCGGTTCCCTCTCAAAGGTTGAGAAAGTCACTCTTTAAGATTACGAGCTCCTTTATTAGCCAAAAATTTCTCAATAGAGCAACTTAGAAAACACAGTGCAATGGTTCATATTGGCGTCATACTGTAGATCTTTTGGAAATGATGCGTCGGGGGCTGGTTCGATTCATCGGCAAAAACGTTGAAAACGCATTCGGGGGCTGGTTCGGTTCATCATCCGAAATTGTAACTGTATCATAGACTTTTTGGAGTGTGATAAGGTTTGCTTTCAGAATTAGTAGGTACGTTTTTTCACGTCAAGATCTTCACATATTTCTATTTTCCTAATGATATTCTTCCTAGCAGCTTTCACAGCACTAGCATCACTGTTTCCAAGTCCGACATGCAATGAAAATGAATTTTTTCATGCACAAACTCTAACCAACTATGAGCCTTATTTTCATTGGCAGCAGTTCGCTCAACTTTTTGTAACTCTCAGGTACATTGTAGTGCTCTTGGCG